CCCAGATAGGCAACTTCCTTTGGCAGGATCTGCAAACATCAAAGAATTGTTCCAATGGATTTAAAGTTCTATTGCCTGGATCAAACAAGGCACAGAGGATGCCATATTCTTTAGCTCTCTGCTAGATGCCCCAAACCCAGAACTGCGTGAGCATGACATTTAGTACTTGTTGCATTATGCTGATTACTATCCATGAAGCACACAGAATAAAATGCCCAAGACACAATCTCAGATACAGAGAAAGCACTCAGAAGGTGATCCTGAAAAAAAAAAGAACTTCAAACCTAGGAGGCTTATAAGATAGAAATTCCCAAAAGAAGTCTTTGAAACTCTCTCAGTATGCTCACTTAGCACATACCTTCAGAAAGGTCCTTCACCTGAAGACCTCCCCAGAGGACAGGCATGCACAACTCCCACTCCAATACACACCTGGGACAGCAGGTTTTTGTGGAGGCAGTTGATCCCACCGATAAAAACCAGATTGGGCATGGTGGGCCTGGGGTACTCAAAGACAAAGTCAGTTCTGAGCAGCCAGACCGATGCAGAGGCCAGAAGATCCTGGACAGTCATGTCTCTCTGAAGGACTTCTGCAGCAAGCAGCGCATAGGGGGGATAAACCACATCACACAGGACTTTCTGTGCCAAGGCAATGAGCACGTTCTTCACCCTCTGCAGGAAGGTCATGTGATCTGAGTTCAAGGACCTAGAACTAGGCACATAAGACAGTGGGTTGGGACACTGGGTGGCCCCATAGTGCAGGCCACATGGCAATGCATTCAGGAAGAAAACAGAAGGCACAGCCAGGTACTGGGCCACGATGGCACCACAAGGCAAGAAAGGGTCTGTCAACACAGCGTCGAAGCTGCTTTCCCCCAGGGAGGCCATCAGCTCCTTGTTGTGCACGAGGTGGGAACAGCCAGAGAAAATCAAAGCAGAGTCCTTTTTGATTTTCTTGTACATTCTGATCACACGCTGCAGGAAAGGATAGTTCGCAAAAACATCATGCCCGAGTTCAACAAAACTGGCCTCCACGTCCTCCCTCTGGAATGGCACAGGGTACCTTTTCAAGGTGTAGGATGAGCCTTCTTTTACATGCAACAAGGCATCAGGTGCCAGGACCACTACTTCGTGTCCATTCTGCTGCAGCTTCTGGATGACCCCGACCATGCTCAGCCAGTGGCTGCCGTCTATTGGGACCACCAACAGCTTGCCAGCATGGGACACTGGGGGCCTGAGCACACACAGGAGGAGGCCCAGGACCAGTGGATGTGGGCCCTGGGATGCCATGGCCATGGCGCCCTTGCCTTTGCTCTCCTTCCCCTGCTCCCGTATAGCCAGAGCCAACGCACACACCAAGTTAATGTTTGATCGTGTCACATGATTAAAGCCACCAGTCTGCAAGGGCAGCAGGAGATGGACCTTTGGAAGGGATCCACTGCTTTTCGTGATAGGCCGCAACAGATGATTTGGGTGGAGTCCCGTCCCCAAGTCACATTCTTGAGTAAGAACGCAAAGAAAAATATCTCTAGCCTTTGGATCCATTAAATATTTTCAGAGATGAAGAAAATATTACCAGAGATACAAAAGGATCACAAGGTGACAAAGTAGTCTTCTTTTCCAGAAACAAAACAACATTTCTTAGCCTTTCAGAAGCCTGCCATTGTAGCTTCCCATGAGCCTGCGGAACTCAAAGCTTCTCCTCCGTAGCTCGCTTGGCACCTTGCCTGACCACTGGCACTGAATTTTGGTGCCTTGATGCATGGAGCCCAATAAAGGAAGCAGATGAACAAGTAAAAGAATTTGTACAATGTGCCAAGCACAGTCAAGCTAAGCATTCTACAACATGTTTTATATAATCCGTTAGAGCTGCCCTGAAACAACAGATACCATACTACTGTCCCCATGTCACAAAGACACTGAGGCTGAGAGGAGCACACAGATATTCCAGATTTCCTAAGTGATGGGGGTAAGACCTGGGCCCTAGTTTTCAGTGCCCAGAGCTCTTAGTTTTTAACAACACTTGCAATCTCTAATAGCACAGAGAGTGGTACCCAGTCCTCGATTGCAACTTTCAACGAATTATAAGTGAGAAAGAAAGCTGTGATCCCCAAGTCATCATCCAATTAACATAAATGGGGAAAAGGCAGACGAAAAGACCACAGTGAAGGAGGCGGGACTCACAATGCACCAGCTGGTGTCCGAGGAGATCAGGGCATGCTCACCTTGTGCTGAAGAACAGTCAAACCAGGGTGTAGAGAGAGCTGAGCACGAGACCACTTTCTTTTCTGACCTGTTGCTGTTCTATTCAATCCCAGAATGAAAGGACAGATCCCAACATCACTGGCCACTCATCCCTGTAGATATGCTGGAAGGGCCATGGAAGAAGGGCTAACTTTAAAGCTTTGGTGTCTCATGTGGGCACCTCTACTCTGTACTTAGTTTCCTGCTCCCTAAGCCAGCACCTTTCTTCAACAGACCTCTAGATTTGCATGAGCTTCCCTAGGGGTGCACACTTGTGCCCTGAAGCTCCTCCCCAGCCTCAACACTCCTGCTTAGGCCTGGCAGAAAAGATGTGGCACTGCTTCTGTTCTTTATTGACTGCTTCTCTGTGATTCTGAAATCTTCAGTTCAAGTTAAACTTTAAAATAAGTAATTTTGCATAAGTTTTTCAATGTCCCAAAGTCATGAGTGTTCATGTGCAGATCACATGAAAGATGTTGCAAACCCAGTCAGCACTATAATGATCTTGTGATTTTTCTTGCATCACACAGAGCCTCAGAGCTATTTATCTTGGATCTATCTTTTTATTTATTGTGCGGTGCTGGGGATTAACACAGGGCCTCACACATGCTAGTAGGAGGTGCTCTGCCACAGAGCTACACCCCAGGCCTTGGAAATGTTTTGAGGCCTACGTGGTTTGGGGTACCACTCTGCCCCTAATGAGGGAAATGCTGTTTTCTAATTTGAATGTCCAGCAATCCACATCCATCCTCATGAACCACTATGCCAACCACTGCTACATAATCCATTAAAGCCTCTGCCTGGTGGTCTTAGGAGACCTGACACTTCCGTCCCATTTCTAATTTTCTCTTTCGCCAAATTTTTAAGGACCTGGGAGCCCTACTATGCTCCAGACACAGTGTTAGGAGCAGGATCCGAAAATCAGGTTAGATATCTTCTCTGCTATAAGGAAAAGGTCCACCTGGCAGAAATGATCCAGGCAGTGATAGAGCAGAGCAGGATGTGTCCTGGCAGAGGAGGAAAGAGAGAATGGAGCCACCTGGTCTGGCCTGGGAGGCTACTGAGGAGTGAGTGTCTGTGAAAGCAAGGCTCCTGGAACCCACAGACTTTCTTTCCTAAGGGACAGCTAGAAGTGAATAGGCCCACCTCTTGGGACTCTCTTAGCTCCTCTGATTAGATCAGAAGGGAGGGGCTCATTACAAAGGAGTGACATCAACACTCCGCTTTGCTGGATCTTGAGTGGGACTTTCCAGCAGGAAACAAGGCTGTCTTCCTCCAATTTCTGCAGCATTTTCTTCTGTTCTGCCTTCCACCATGGAGCTGTTGGCTACTGGACTGTATATACATGCACACCTTCCTCATAGGTGGGATTTTAACTCTGGGACCATCATCTCATTTTCGCAGACACTGAGCTCTTCTTCATGGACCAGCTGCCTTTCTCCTGCTCTAGGTGTCACAGCCAAGCGAATGCTGCAGCTGGATGTTTCCACCGCTGCCTCTCGGGCCTCACTGCCACGATTCTCTTCCAAGGCCCCAACTCAGTCCCCTCAGCCCCTCCAGCTGTCCTCTTAATTCACCCTGTTATCTGCCCTTGCCAGGTCCCACCCCACCAGCTCTTTCGGCACCTTGGTTAATAGCTTCCCAGGGCCCATTAAGAAAACTTGCTTTCCAGCCTTTCCATCAGGACTTCCTGGAATGGACCCCAGGCCTCTGTCCCAGCTTATTCTGCCTCCCTAGCCCTTCTTCCTGGTCCTGTCCTCTCCCCTTTTCCTGCCATTCACTTGCCCTCACCCCAAATCCACTTTATACTTTCCTGAATTGGAAATAATCACCACGTTCTGAATTTTAACCAGAGTGCTTTAAATATGGCCTACAAGTTTTAATGATGTTGATTTTTGTTTCCTTGGGTACTGGGGATCAAACTCAGGTCCTTGTGCTTGCGAGGCAGGCAGTGGAACCACTGAGCTAAATCCCTGGACCAATGATGTTGATTTTCTAGGCCCGTGGTTTTCATATGAACTAGGGAACACTGGGGATCCCAGATAATTTTTCAAGGTAATTTAACAAAGTCAAAACGATTTCCCCTGGACTTAACTCCCCATAAGCTGCCACCTACTATTTATTGCATCCTTGCCAAGTGCCAAGTCCAGGGGTGAATCCAGCTCAGTCTCTCTACGTGCTATGAACCTGGCATTTCGGATGAGATTAATGCACTCAGACCAACTATGCTTCACAATACAATGTTAGAACATTCACTGGTTCATGGTCCCCCTTTTAGAACAAAGGGACTCTTATTATGGTATTGCCTCACAGTTGATCAAAGTAAGGAATACAGTGTCCTAGAGAGAGTAAGGAGAAAGTGGAGAGAACTCAGATATCAAGAAATACCAAAAAAGATAATCACAGTCATGATATAGCAGTCTCAGTGGAAATAATCACCACATTCTGAGTTTACTCAGTGCTTTAAATATGGCCCACAAGTTTTAATGATGTTAATTTTTTTTGCTTAGGTACCGGGAATCGAACACAGGACCTTGTGCTTGTGAGGCATGCAGTGGTACCACTGAGCTAAATCCCTGTCCCAATGATGTTGATTTTCTAGGCCAGTGGTTTTCATATGAACTAGGGAACACTGGGATCCCAAATAATTTTTTCAAGGTAATTTAACAAAGTCAAAACGATTTCCCTAACAATGATGCTGTCTGCCTTTTCCCTTCCCATGCTCTCACAAATGTACAGGGGAAGTTTCCTGAGGCCAGGTTGTGATGTTACAGTATATTCAACACAGAAGCCCACATGAGACTCCAACTCTCTATTAAGCCATTAAAAAAAAAGAGATGAAAGGCATCATCAAATGACCCCCCTCTTCTCACTGAATTTCTGTTTTTTGGGAAAACCTTATTTTCTCACAATATGATTCATGTAATGGGTTGCCTAATGAATATTATCTTTTAAAATTGTTTAATTTTCTCCTAAGATACAGATGATAGAACAACCCATATAGACAAAGGCAAATGGCCTGAGGCCAAAACTTTTGAGAAGTGCAGTCCTCTGACACATGACTGGCCCTGAGCCCTGGGTCAGTCAAAGCCCATTCCTAACACCCTAGCCTTCCCCCATGCTGAGGGGAAAGCCTGACTCCCAGCTGACTTTAAGAAAAACATTTCTTAAGGTAGCGAGAGTTATGGCCTTCCATCCTGCCCCCAAGTTTCTCCTTTTCTACACTATTTAGACAACCGCAAGGAGGGAGGGTGGGGTGGGTGGTCAATAGGATGAGCGGAGGCAGAAGTGGGTATGGCCACGCACGTCACAGAGCTTCTCCAAGCCCCTAGAGCAGTGGATTGTGGGATGGGGACCTCCACGTCAACCAATGAAAAGCTGCAAAGCTGCTGCGTCATAAGGGCGGCCCTGTCCGGGAGCCTACCACTGACCTTGCACTCGTCCTGCCCCCCGGGCTGCAGGCTAAGGCCCTTGCCTAGCCTGGCCGTCCAGCATGGTGGACTACTACGAGGTGCTGGGCGTGCCTCGGCAGGCCTCGTCGGAGGCCATCAAGAAGGCATACCGCAAGCTGGCACTCAAGTGGCACCCAGACAAAAATCCTGAGAACAAGGAGGAAGCAGAAAGGAGATTCAAGCAAGTGGCCCAGGCCTACGAGGTGCTGTCTAACTCCAAGAAACGCAACATCTATGACCGTTATGGCGAGGCAGGAGTGGATGGCGGTGCCAGCGCCAGTGAGGCCTCCTTCGTCAACCCTTTCGAGTTTGTCTTCACCTTCCGCGACCCGGTGGAGGTCTTCAAGGAGTTCTTCGGGGGCCAGGACCCTTTCTCATTTGACTTCTTTGGAGACCCACCTGAGGATATTTTTGGAGGCTGGAGGAGCTCCCAAGGAACCAGAAGGTCTGGATCCCTTTCCTGTACCTTACGTGAATTTCCAGCTTTTGGGAGAAGTTTGTCTTCCTTTGATACTGAATTGGCTTCCTTTGGTTCCCTGGGAAAGGGAAGGTTTTCTTCTTTAACTATGTCTTGTGTTAGCGGTGGAACAGGCAGCTTCAAGGCCACGTCAACTTCCACCAAAATAGTTAATGGCAAAACAATCAGTACCAAGAAAGTGGTTAAGAATGGCCAAGAAAGGGTAGAAGTGGAAGAAGATGGAAAGTTGAAGTCCCTTCTGATAAATGGCCAAGAACAGCTGCTGCACATCAACACCAAGTAACTACCCTTGACTGGAAACACACTTGGGGAATAGAAGGCCTTTTCGTTAAAATTGCAAGTGAAGTCTACTTCCAGAACAGTTGTACCCAAGAATTTATAAACCATTCATGATAGTGCCTATTTCTTGTTATTGTTGTGATTACATGAATAGAATGTTTGTCTTTAAAATTGGTAAAAATATCGGGATGCACTTTGATATATATTAAACTTCATCTTGAGGCAAAGACGATTTTGTAGTACTAGGACAAAATATCATGATACCTTACATTTTTTCCATTTGGTTTTGAGCTAGGCCACGTATCTAGCTCTGAAGCATTTAACTTTAAGTTCTTAAACAATTGTACTGAAACATACTTTTGCCATAAAGAAGGCTTTTTGTTGTATGTAAATGATGGTGGTGTGTTAACCATTGCTTAAATAATTATAGCTAGGCTCTTTACAAGCAGATAAACCTAGCAAAGGGGATAGAATTCACTTCCTAGGTTGCAACAAATTTCCACAATCTGTACATATTTACTTTGTCTGAATTTTGGAGTCCATTAGTATGAAATTCATTTCACTGGCCTGAAAGCAGGGTTATCTGCAGCATGCTCACTCTGAAGGCAAGATATTTATGTCGGTGCCCCAAGGTTTGCAGCCTCAACTTGATTCTACAACGATGCTGGGAATGAAAAGACAAACACAAGCCTTTCCGTAAGGTTAAATATATCTTCCCCCATTACCATATGGGCACATACATCAAAGTAGCTAACAAAAGCCAACTATCACCTGAAATATTGATTGTATGAGGCACTATACAGACATCTGGGAAAATCATGTTGCCATTATTTAGGTCACACATAATGGCCTTTTCGGAGATGATTTCTTTGGGATAACCCATCACAAACTGCTCCCTTCCTTACTGTCTTTTCTGAGGATTGTATGACATAAAAAGGGGATGAAATAGATTTAAAAAATACAAGTTCTTAATTTTTTGCAGAGAAGAAATATGGCCTGAACACATTGTCAATAAGGGAGGACTATGTGAGAATGGTTTTGAATACCTTTTAGGACCCTTAAAATCCAGTCTGTATGGAATGACATGCAAACAGCCTGACAGGAACATGACATTCAGTGTTGTAAGAACACAAGGTCTCTTAAAACCACATCACAAGAACAGTCACTGAGGTACCTGGGCAGATACTTCCTATATATTAACTGTACAAGAGCAGTTAGAATGAGACAGACTACCAGGGCTTCTGAAAAATTAGTCTACTCCAGCCACAGTGAAGATACTCACTGGGTAATTTTGGGGTGGGCGGTCAAACTCAATAGTTTGTTTCTGAAGAAGAAGTCAGCACTTTTGAGGTGATAGGACCAGGTGCAATGCCATGGAAGTGCTGGAATCTCTCTGGGTAGGACAACATGGGTGTGTTTTTAGCGACACAGTTGGTTAAGAGATGTTCAGCAAAGAGTTCCCTGATAGGCAAACAGCTTGGCTACCAAGATCAATCAGAGATCTTTAACACCTCTGGATAATTTAATAGATGAGAGTTAACACAGCTGTCAGTTTTATGGACCCAGGATCACTACTACTTCTGTGAATGAAGTTTTCCTTTTACACATGTACAAAGCATTTAATTTGAAGGATTCTTAAAACGGAAACTCTGAAAACTAGTGAAAAAAAAAACACTCAAGGTCTATAGATCTGTACATGGATGTTCAATCTCTATGGAAGGGTTGAGCAGACTTCAATGGGAGAGAAACAAGGACATCTGCACTGGTGAAAAGATGGGCATCATGAGTCCACTGCAGTGGATACACTAGGAAGTCACTGCCACATTCCCCAGAGGCACCAGGCAGGAGAACACATATCCAGGAGGACCCAAAACACTAAACACCTGTGGCCATCTCACCAGGATGCAGAAACTCAAAAGCCAGACGCCTCTCCTGGCTGGAGGTCCACACATAGCTGTTTTTGGTTCCACTTAAACCACACAGTGGAAGACATTTGAACCACACCGTATTCATTTCAAACAACCTTTCCAAGATCAGTCTGTCTCCCCCGCTGAGGCCACACTTCTATCTTCAAGTCTTGGGAAATCTTTCACCTGACTCTGCTTTCCTTTCTAAGCAATTCTAGTTCCGCTTCTCGTACTGCTTTCCCAGAACAGATTGTGCTCCTTTCTTTTCCCAGTCTCCTTTAAACCCTTTCAAAAAAATACTGTACACTCTGGAAACAGATCAAGGGCCTCAGCACTGGATGCACTGCCTGTTCTTGATCTGTATCTCCTCAAAAGTACACTGAAGGGCCAGGGATTTAGCTCAGTGGTTCCAGTGCCTGCCTTGCAAGCTCAAGGACATGAGTTCAATCCCTGGTACCAAAAAAAAGAGAAAAAAGTACACTGAAAAGATACTTTTCTAAGAGGAAATCATTACATTTTATTGGGCTCACTTTCCTCTAAATAGTGGATGACAAGATAGATGTCAGTAAATCTAGGGAAAAAGTTTCACTCTGAGAATCTTAACAAATTTCAGAGGAATTCTTTACTTTGGCACCTGTGAAAATAAAATTATTTCTAGAGAAAGATGGGGTTAGAAAAAAAATAGATGAATTTTTCAAAATACACATTGCAGCAAAGGAGGACACCAGAGAGTGCAGAGAACAAAACCAGAGACAAACAACATGCACTCTTCCGGAAGTGCTGCTCTACAAAAGGGGGAGACAGAGATGAGAAAGTTGGGGAAAATGGCAACAAAGGAGCCTGGGGAACAGGATTCCTGGATGACAAGAGTTCTTAGAGAAGAAACCAGAACAGAAATCTCAAGGATTTCATAAAGGGAAAGCTGCAGGCCTTGAATAAGATCTGGGTTGAACTTGGGCTCATTGTCTGGGGGAGGAAAATGGCCCACACAGGTGTGCACATCCCACTCGCTGGAACATGTGCACGGGTTACATCACACGGTACAGAGGCTCTGCAGATATAACTGAGGGTCGAGAGATGGGAAGACCATCCCGGTGCTTGCAGGTAGAGTTGGTGTCACCACAAGGACGCTCATAAGTGACACAGAGACATAGAAGATAGAGTTGAACATGTACATGTCGTCTATTTCCAGAATCAGAAGGGAAAAGGAAAAAAGATAAAGTTCACACCAAATGGAAGGAATCAATCAGGACACAAACATTGTGTCAGTGGATAGAATTCTTCCATGAAAAGAAACTACCAGATTGACGTTATAAAAGTCAACATTTGAACTTTTCACTAAAACTTCTGAAAGTAGAGATAGCAGTAGCACCACTAGTCTCAGAACCGGTAGATTATAAGAGGTCAAATTCATGTGTAAAAGTATGAAAATGTGTGCACAATGTACCTGCATGCACCAATCTAGAAGCTCTTGTGTACAAAGCAAAATACTCAGAATTACAAATGTAATTTGAGCAATTATCAGTTCCATGAAGGGAAAAATGTTATATGAGACAAGCTTTTAACAATTGGGACTATTCAATAAAGTGTTTCATGTATAAAAAGTGCAAAGACACAATTTGCATGATTCCATGAGACATTTACAAATATTTATCACACAGCAAGCACCACTGGCTACATGGGACTATTGAGCACTTGAGGTGCCAGAGTTCAAATTGGGACAAGCTATGCAATAAAGTGCACTTTAGACTTCTGCTTCTATTGAATGCTTGCATCTCCTAGAAGCACATCTCCATCCTTTCTCAGACAGGACTGCTACAAACTATCATATCAAAACTTGCAATATGCTAGTTTGTTTATCTTTCTACTGAAGACCTCCAAGCTATACTTCTCTCTAATGAGTGAATTCACAGCACAGTTTCTCCACTTCTGCACACCTGAAGGAAAATTACCCCACCATGAAGACAGTGGTTGACACGGGGACAGTCCTCGTAGAGTCACATCGTTGTGTGTGCAGCATCGCCCAGAGGTAGGTATGGGATGGTTATGCAAGGTAGGGGCTTTTACAACCGCCTGACCAAAACACTCCCAGAATGCATGGTTAGAGGGCCAGGGATTTAGCTCAGTCATTCGGCCACCTGACCCATAAGTGCAAGGTCCAAAGTTTGATCCCCAGTACCAAAAAACAACGAAACAAACAGAATGCATGGTTAGAGATGAAAAGACAGCCCACAGGGCCACAAGTCCAAGTAGGATCCAAGCACATGGTCTTATGCAATGAAGGCTCTAGCCCTCTTCTCCCCGTACTGTGATTGGCACTAAGGTCAATTATGTAGAGACCATCCTGATCTTCCCTGCCTTCCCATGTCCCCTCCACAAATTCTTGCACAGACGTCCTTCTGTTGTCTTTTATTATTGCTTCATCATTTTATAAATGAGATACCACATATACTCAGTTCGAGACTGTCCTTATGAGACTTTGTATGCTGAGGGGTGTGGGTTAAGGGAAGATCCTCTAGGCCTTCTTGAAGTTTGAACACTGAGTAATCTCTCTTCCTGTGCTCTGTGTGGTGGTCACAAACAGCGACAATGCTTTCCATGTTCTATTCCAGATTCTCACCTCTGCCTGTCTGTGTTCTTGGTGCCTATTGTGACTTTCAGTCATGCTACTATGAACGCCTTAGTCATTACCTCACCAGAGACTGGTAGAGATGAAGAGTTGCACATCTCAGGAAAGACAAGATAAGCTCCTGGAAGTACAGTGGACCACTGACTTACAAACTCAATTCATTCCTGAGATCTGGCTGTTACTCAAATTTGTTAAGGCTCAAATTCTCCTAAACAGCTTTCAAACTCTCAGTGCAGTATACAGGCAGATCTCATTATCTTTATAGAAACACTAGGCCAGGATTTATCAAAGCATCCCATACAGGAGAGGATGTTGTCATGTTCATGTCAGAATTTGATGAGGGTTAAATCTGTACCTGAGAACGCCTGGAAACACAAGTGGCTGGCATTTGGGTAGTAACTCAAAACTTTGGTCATAAGTAAAAAGTACAATTTCAGTCATAACCCAAGTTGTTCCTGTTAGGCTGGTCATAACTCAAGGTCCATGTATTTTAAACCACGCTTTCTTTTGGAAAGTTGAAAGAAGGCACCACAACAGACCTGAGAGAGTGGCTTCCTGCTGATACAGTTGATGCCCCCGATGAAGACCATGTTGGGCATGATGGGCCTGGGGTAGTCGAACACAAAGTCCCCTCTGAACAGCCACACAGAACCATGGTTCAGAATATCCACTATAGATACTGCTGTCTTGAACAGCTCAGAAGCAATCCTTGGGTATGGAGCAAAAGTAATATAACAATGGTACTTCAAGGCCAGAGGATAGAGCATGTTCTTGACTCTCTGCAGGAAAGTCATGTGGTCAGAGTATGTTGTGAGCACCTGTGGAATATAGGAGGAAGGGTTCGGACACTGTGTGCCCTCAAAGTCAAAGCCACAAGGTATGTACCGCAGGAAATAGACAGCAGGAATACGCAGATACTTAGCCAGTATTGCCCCACAAGGATAAACAGGGTCCGTTAAAACCACATTGAAGGAACTGGAATTCAGTTGGCTGATCAGAGAACTGTTACGCACTAGCCTCACAGAGGATGTCTCATACATCGCTGATGCTTTCTTTAATATAGCTATACTTTTAAAAAATGTCTTCAGATAATGCTCATTTTCAAAGATGTATTGAAAGTGGTTTACCAGAAAGCGATTATATTCTTCCTGGGTGTAGAGAGTTTCATAGGTTTTCAGGGTGAAGAAGTCCTCTCTTGTGATGTGTAAATTGGCCTCTGGAGCTAGGACCACAGCCTGGTGTCCTCTGGCGTGGAGCTTCCTCACAACGTCCTTCATGCTGAGCCAGTGGCTGCCCTCCATGGGGACCACCAGCACCTTCCCACACTCAGCCCACGGCGTGACACACACCAAGAGCAGCAGCCTCACCAGGCCTCGCAGGGGCACCGGGAGTGCTGTGGCCATGTCCCCACACACACACCGTGCCTTCTGCTTGACTTCTGCATGTTCACTCTCTTATCAAGACAAAAATGGCATCTCATTGGCAGGCAGGAAGCCCTCCCTCAGTTAACCATTGCACATTGCTGTCCTACTCTTGTAAGACCAGCCACTGAGAGTCTGCTCTTATCTCTTATCTGCTGGCACAACTCCTCTGACCTGTTGCTCTCTCTGGGGGACACCGGAGTTCACCTCGTCTTTTCCATGAAATTCTCAAAAGACGGCACCTGTTTCATTTCATCACCTCCTCTGTCACCCTCATGCTGGAAGGCTGTCACTGAGCTCTGAGCACTGCTCCAGGCTTTGGTTGCCACTGTAACTTCTCTCCTGGAGGTCGTCTTATACCATAGCCTTGAAACTTTCCTGCCTTTCATTAGCAACCTGGAGTACATCAGAAAGCCCATAGAGTTGCCAGGCCAACTTGCTCCAATCGAGGAGGTGGAAGCTGGCACTCAGATGAAGTCCAGTTTGTACAACGGATCTCCCTGTGAGGGTCACTCTGTCTGCACACAATGAGCAGGGTGGGAAGAGCTGCATGGACCCTGACCAAGAGACTCCATGATCTCCTGCTGCTGAAGGATCTGCAAAGAGACCCTCATCTCACCCATGGCGTGAGAGTTTCCTTGGACCAGATAGGAAGCTTAGTGGGAGAGTGCTTGTCCAGCAGGGCTGAGGTCCTAGCTTATATCCTGTGCATATCTTAAAAATACTTCCTAAGAATTATAGTATACAGGGATTCTGAAATGGTTGTTGTAAGTACAGTGATTACAAACTTTTTCAGGACACACACTCAGAACTACTAGAAAACTACTGAAAACTACTAAAAAATAGAACTCTTGGAGGTGGATGATTGTGGAAAGGGACTGCTTTAGTTGTGAACAAAAGTATAAAAGACAAGACAAAAATTTTTTAAAACCCAGAAGCTTAGGAGAGCACTACACAGATTGAGAATAGCTGGCTAAGCCCCAGATATGTGGTGCTACAGCAGAGAATGAAGTTAGAGGTGAAAAGAAAAGTGATGAGAAATTCCAGAAAACACAACCAGCATAGACCTCCACATTTTGTGGAAATGCAGACAAGTGCAGACAGTGGGATTTGCCCTGGATACTGCCACTACGGGAGTATTTCGCACTTTACAACATGGAATTGTGTTGCAGTATCCAGCCACCAGTCACCTTGGGAACACCAAATTTCTATTAATTTAGGAGTCAAACATCCCCTTTTCCTATCTCTGTGAACCAGCAGCAAAAGCCATGCTCTGACCTGGCAGGTGGTGGCTCTGGGAGCTATTTGGGAAGGAGGAAAGTTTCTGGAGCACTGACGCTGAGAGTCACTGCGGCCAGAAGCTGTGTGATGACAGGGGAAAGAAGGTCACTTTGCACTTAGGAAGGTCATCTTGGGAAACCAGCTACAGGAACTCTGGGAGGAGAGAAGTTCCACGTCGTGCATAGGAGATGAGTTTGAGGACGCCAGAGCTGGAGGTGGAGAGAGGGGAGGCTCTGGGGCCACCCTTCTGACTTCAGCATGCACCACGTAACCCACGGTGTGTCCCCATCTGTATCTCCCACTTAGGCAATACTATCACAAAAGGCACTGCCTGGCATCAGTTCGGCCCTGTAAGTGCCTTTAAGTATACTTTTCTTCTTTTTCTACCCTTCCCTTTCTTTTCTTCTCCTCTTCATATTTACTCTTTTGTTCCTCCTTCCCCTGGTTTCTTCTTTTTAAAATCTTCAATTGGATATTTTTCACTCCTTCTCTGTTTTTCCTCTTATGTTCTCCATTTGAAGACCTTGTTTTTAATTTTCTTCTGTTTTTCTTTTAAAATCTAGAGCTTAATCTTTGCCTTTTATTCTTCTTTACTATTTTTTCCTTGTGAATTTCCCCCTTTTTGTACATTGTTTCTATTTGTAAGAATTCTTATCTTCATTAACTAGTCATATTTTAGTTTATTCTATACTAATTGTGCTCCTCTTTTATATTGTTAATGGTGTGGAGGTATGTATTTTTAACTGGTTATTGCTGCATTTCCAGACCTGGATTGCTTAAATGTAGCGGCAGTTGCCTACACTTGTGTTCATTTTTCTGACTATGGCTGGAGATGTAGAGCAGTTGCTGAAATACATTGAGTGATTTAAGGCTACTAAGCTGTATGTCCAGCCATATTTGGTAAATTGTCCATTTTCCACTCCACCTAAGTACCACTCTCAATTGAATGATGATGCATACTTCATCTATAAAATAAGGACAGAAAAGCCTCTATCTGATAACTCAGCCCCAAGCAGCCAGACCCATGGAAGGGCTCATGGGAAGGCTGCTCACTAAGAGAGCTCCCACATAAAAGTGGAAGAAACTGTCAACCAACACAGAGATAAAGGAGATATCTTTCCCACAACTGCTAACAATTCTCTAAATACAGACTAACAATATCAAAGTGAGTGAAATACCTTATCAGTATTTTAAAATACTGACTTTTAACATGATTGATGAATTCAAGGGGGTATAAATAATCAGCAGAATTGATTAAGAAAGACAATGCCTGATATGAAAGACTAACTCAATAAAGAACAAGAAGTTATGAAAAAGAAACAAACAGAAATCTGGGAAATCAATAGCTCAATAAGGCAGATAAAGAATTCAGTGAAAGGCTTCAAAAAGAGACGAAATCAAACAGACAAAAGAATATACAAGTTAAAAAACAGTGTAGATGAACTCTCATATTTAAAAAATAATGAAGAAACTATGAAGGAAACAAACAAGATCTCTGGGACAACACTAAAAGACTAAAGATGTTCTTCATAGGTTTAAAGGAGGAAGTTGAAACACAAATTAATGGCATAGAGACGATACACAGTGAAATAGTAGAAGAAAAATGCTCAAATCTTGGAAAGGCTATGGACATCCAGATATTAGAGGCAGAAAAACCCCAAATGGACATGAGCAGAAAAGAACTTCTCCACAACAAATTAAAATGAAACAACCAAAACTACTGAACAAAGAGAAAATATGAAAATCTGGAAGACAAAAGCGCTAAGTCATTTATACAGACCAACCCACAAGAATAACAACAGGAGTCTCCACAGACAGTATAAAAGCCACGAGAATATGGATGAATGTATCTCCATCCATGCACAAAAATAACTGCTGACCTACATTATTATATCCAGCAAAGACTTTTCTTAGAATTGAAGAAATAAACATTCACTAAGGATGAACCAAAAAATTTCATGGCAACTAACCCAGCATAACAAAAGCTACTCAAAGAAATCCAAAGCTCAGCTGAGGAAGCGAGGTAAATGGAACTATAAGAGTATGGGAAATAAGAAATCTCATTAGAAGCATAAATAAGCAAATGAGAGGTAGGAAAGAATCAAACATGATCACTTTCCTGAAATATCTGAGATACTGCTAAGATAATTAAGAGAGAAATGAGACCAATCAAAACAACTGAAAGTAAAACAACACAATAACATGACTGAGAATATCTCTTTCTATTAAAATCCTGAATGTAAATGTTCTGACACCAGGCAGGAGAAGCCATATTCATGTGGGACCCAAGACACTAAATGTCTGTGGTTATCTCAGGAGAATCAAAATCTCAAAAACCAGACCCCTCTCCTTTATGGAGGCCCACACAGCTGTTTTGCATTCTACTTGCCACATACACTGGCAGACATTTGAAAGACACAGTGTGTGCCTTTCAAATAACCTCTATACAATCAAGTTACCTCCTCACTTCGGATACCATTTTTCTATCTTCATGTCTTGGGCTATCATTCACCTGACTCTGCTTACCCTTCTAAGAATGTCTAAATCCAGTTCCCATAGGGCTTTCTCAGTATAGATTGCATTCATTTCTTTTCCCAGTCTTCTTTAAACTCATAAAAAACCTGTACACTCTGGAACCTAGTGAAGGGCCTCAGGACTGGACACACTGGCCTATTCTCTATCTGTATCTCCTCAAAAGCAAGATGTGGAAACACACCATACTTACCCCCCCACCCCCGGTACCTGGGATGGAACTTGGATCCCTGTGCTTGCAAGGCAGGCGATGGAACCACTGAGCTAATTCCCCAGCCCAGAAACATACATTTCTACCTGGAAATTCTTATATTTTCTTAGGCCTGTTTTCTTCTGTATCTTGGATGATATTATAAATGTAAATCCAGGGAGAAAGTTTCATTTTGAGTATCTGTATTTTACAAGTTTCAGTGGAATTCTTTACCTTGGCACCTTGTGAAAATAAAATCATTTCTGGATAATGAGGGAAAGCAGCAACAAAGAAAACAAAAGAGATGAATTTTTTAAATGCACCCTGAAATCAGAGGAGGACAATGGAAAGTGCAGGGAACAAACCCAGTGACTACATGCACTCTTCCAGAAATGCTACTCTACAAAAGGGAGATGAGAAAGTGGGGGAAAACGGCAGCCATGGAGCCTGGGGAACAGGATTCCTGGATGACAAGAGTTCTTAGAGAAGAAACCAAAACAAAAATGTCAAGGGTTTCATAGCAGGAAAACTGCAGGCCTTGAATAAGATCTGGGTTTGATTCAGGCTTATTTCCTGGGGCAGGTGAAATGGCCCCACACAGGTGTGCACATCCCACTCACTGGAACGTGTGCATGAGTTATATCACATGGCACAGAGGCTCTGCAGATACAACTAAGGGTCTTGAGATGGGAAAACCGACCCAGTGCTTGCAGGTAGAGTCGGTGTCACCACAAGGACACTCCTAAGTGACACAGAGACATAGGAAACAGAACTGAACATGTACATGTCATCTATTTCCAGAATCAGAAGGGAAAAGGAAATGCTTCTTTAAAAGGGAAAAGGAAACAAGATGAAGTTCATGCCAAAATGAAGGTAGAAATCTTGGGAAAGATGAGTAGGAAAGTAAGCACTTGAATGTAGTTTTAAAATACTTTCTGCTAGAAGACTGATTGGAAGAAGGCACCAATACAGACCTGAAAAAGTGGCTTCCTGCTGATGTAGTTGATGCCCCTGATGACCATGTTGGGCATGATGGGCCTGGGATAGTTGAACACAAAGTTCCCTCTGAGCAGCCACACCGAACCACGGCTCAGAACATTCACCAGAGACACATCTCTCTGGAGGAGCTCAGATGTGACCCTTTTGTAGGGCACAGAAAATATGTGGCAAAAGTAGTTCAAGGTCAGAGGATACAGCATGTTCTTGACGCTCTGTAGGAAAATCATGTGGTCAAAGCATGCTGCAAACAAGTAAAGAATATAGCAAGAAGGTTTGGGACAGCGTGAGCCCTCCAAATCCAGGCTACAAAGTATGGACCACAGGAAATAGACAGCCTCAATACACAGATACTTAGCCAGTACTGCCCCACACGGATAAACAGGGTCCATGAAAACCACATGGAAGGAGCTAGAATTCAGTTGGCTGAACAGGGAACTGTCATGCAGCATCTCCACACAAGACCTCTCCGAGATCTCTGTAACATTCTTCACAATTGCCATAGTTTTTAGAAATGTCTCCAGACAATGCTCAGTTTCAAAGATGTATTTACTCTTGCTCAACAAGAAGTGACTGTATTCTTCCTGGGTATAGGGAGAAGTATAGGAATTCAGGGTGAAGAAGTCCTGTCCTGTGATATACAAATTGGCCTCTAGTGTCCTTGGCATGGAGCTTCCTCACAACGTCCTTCATGTTGAGCCAGTGGCTGCCCTCCGTGGGGACCACCAGTACCTTCCCACACTCAGCCCACGGCGTGACACACACCAAGAGCAGCAGCCCCCCAGGCCTCGCAGAGGCACCGGGAGTGCTGTGGCCATGTCCCCAGAAGCCAAGGAACTGACCTGATACACAGACTGTGCCTCCTGCTTGACTTCTTTATATTCACCCTCTTATCATGAGCAAAATGGCACATCACTGTCAGGCAGGAATCACTCCCTTAGTTAATCATTGCAGAATTAAACCACCCCTGGCTTTTATTACTGCCCTGCCATTTTGACTTCAGCCATGAAAAGACTGATCCTAGAAAATGTCTTCCGACCTGCTGCTCCATCTGGCAGAAGATTGGAGTTCAACTTCTAATTTTCCATCCAGTCCCCAAACAAAGATCTGGACACTCATTTTAATTCACCCCCTCCTTCTCTGTTGCCACATGCTTGCTAGTAGGTTGTTGTTTAGCTCTGAGGAGTAACATATAGTTTTTGCCCAGGGTGACTTCATAGATGGATAGGACCCTATGGTAACTTTAAACTTTTTCCTCCTATTCATAAACAGAGAAAACTTAGCTTGCCTCAGACAAAGAAGGGTGGTCAAGGTCCTCTGGTTCAGTTCACTTTATACACTATGATATCCCAGTAATGAACACTCTATTTGCAGCTGCTGTCAGACTGGGAATATCTAGAGGGGCCATTTATTCAAGATTAGGTAATTTGGAGCTACTGAAGGGCCTGCTGAGAATTCTGTTATCTACTCCATGGCATAAGGGCCAAAACCATGTCAATCACATCTGGGCAAAGCCAGGCTAAGCAATGCCATGCAGGTCACCACCTCCTGTGGACATCCCTGCTCATGTTGAGGCCAGAGTTGCCAGAATACAGCCTCAGATCCGGCCCTATGTGCCTTTCTTTTCTCCTGAAAGCTGAAGGCTCCAATCATCTTCAGGCTGTTTGGGGACCAGGGTGGGCATTTGTCTGGGGCTTTCTTTTATCCTGAGGTTTGTGGTTAGGCTTCTCTACCTGATTGTTGACAGCCCCATGTCCTGATGAAGACAGAATCCTCCAGAACACTATGGACTACATAACTTATGGGAACTGTTAATCCTGTACACCAAATTCACTGGATTAAGAAACACCTAGCAGATCAGCAGAGCATGGTCTGAAGTGTGTCTTGGAAGGTCATGGCGGTGTGGCCTTGGGTATATATGCAGTCCTTTGCTCATTGTTCTCTGACACTGTTCCTCTGTTCTACAGCACTCCCTGCCTGCCATGAACTAAGCAGCTTCACCCTGTCTCACGTTTGTGCATTGACACTCCAGCCCTAGAGCCAATTGACTGCAGCCTCAGTACTACCTGAGCAAAACTAAGCCTCTCTTTCTTTAAACCATGGGTATCAGGTGTTATAATACAGAAACTGGTAGCAGAGAAGTGAGGTTATTGCTGTGATCATATCTGACCTTGTGGCTTAAGCCCTTGGAACTGGTTTAGTACAGGGCTTTGGCAAAGTTTGGAGATGCCCGCTTTGGAGATCCACACGCCTTGGAATGCAGGAAGGAGAGCATGATGCAGGGTTGTGGTCAGAGCTCAGAATACCAAAATGCTAACAGAAATGCAGATAGTAAAAGTAAGGCTTAGGTTTCAGTTGGGAACAAAGAGTTCACTGGAAACTGGACTAGAGGTCATCATGTTATGTTGTTGCGAGGTACTTGTCTAAATTTTTCCCATGTCCTGAAACTTTGCAGAGACTGAGATTAGGAGCAGTAGAACAATTAATCTGGCAGAGAAAATTTTAAGACAACCTAACATTCAAGCTGTGGCATGGTACTGCTGGCTTCTTTTAAACTGATTTATAATAAGAATTGGTGGGGGGAGGCAGAGCAGATTTGAAAAACTTAAATTTTGGCAGAGAAGGAACCATATGTAAAGGTGAGGCCAGAGGAGCTGAGATGCTAAAGAGATTAACACTATTAAAAAAGAAACCAAGTACTTCGTGCATGGATCAGAAGAAAGATGCCTTCAGGACATTTCAGAAATCAGCAAGACCTCACTCATCACTAGCTCAAGGGTGCAAAAATGTAAATCCTCCATTTGAGAAGAGACCCTGAGACCCCCTTCTTAAGAAAGGAACTGGTTCCTCGGGATTCAGTAGCTCAGCAGTCAAGGCATTTGGAGGCTGCTGCAGCCACATGCAGCCTTCCAGATTCTGGCTACGGATTGTGCTGGCAGCTGACCTTGACACTATTTGCTGGGCGCTGTTTACCAACATGCAGAATGCAAGAATTTTGAGGTCCAAGAAGCTTCCATGTATATTTCAGAGGGAAGCTTAGAAAGTCAGGCAAGAAGTCCCCAAGAGGGCCATGTGTGAAGCCAAAGGCAAAGTGGAGACGGCAAAAGTTGGAGACCCCAGGAACACGGAGTGTCCACTGAGGAAAGCTGCAGACTGTGAGGAGAGGAAGCCAAGACAGGCTTTGTGAGCTGCAACCGGCAAGGCCATGAGGACAGAGCTACCCATGTCCTCTGGCATACACTCTACCACCAGGTGCCCTGGATGCAGGATTGGGAGCTACAGGACTGCTTGCCTGCCTGGTTTCAGTTTTGCTTTGATTTGACTCATTCGTGTTACTTGGAATTATGTGACTTGTGTTTTCTTTTTACAGAAGTTTCCAGCTAAGAGACTGCCTCAAGACTCAGAAGAGACATGGACTTGAACCTCTGAAAACAGCTGGGACTTCTGAGACTTTGGGGAAATGATCATAGCACTTCTGGTTGTACTTGGGTGGCTGTATTGTGCTGGGCATCATTACGAACTTCCCATTGTCTTCATTTTGAGATTAAGTATCATTTAAGGAGATGTGCTTGGGTATGAAGTTGACGGGATGGGTTGGGAACATTAATATGGATATGACAATTCCATTCAGTTAAGAAACCCCTAGCAGATTCATAGAGCATGTTCCCTGGGAGGGCCACGGGGACCTTGGGCATGAACTGTGGTCCTTGCTGATTTCTCTCTGGTGCTGTTCCCCACTCTGCTCCCCAGCTGTCCTGAATTAAGCAACTTCACTCCACTATGTCATCCCACCTTCAGAGCCAGCTGACTATAGACTGAATTTCCCAAAGCATAAACTAAATTAAATATCTCCTTCTTTAGGATATGAATGTTAGGTGTTGTGTCCCAGCACAGGAAAAGCAGACAAATACATATCCCTATCATTAAATTTCAAACCAGAGAAAAGCAACGTGAGGGTCTGGTGAAGACTGGACCCAGTGAATGAGCACTGCTCAGAGGCTCAGGAGGCTGGCACTGCTCTGGGAAGTTACTCCCATGGTTGTTTTAGTTACTTTTCTTGCTGCTCAGACAAAATACCCGACACCCAGAATTAAGGGAGGAAAAGTTTATTTAGCTCAGTTTGCAGAGGTTTCAGTTCATAACTGGCTGGCTTCAAGGCAGGGTGGCACATGGCAGACAGGGATTGCAGAGGAGAAACAGTTCATGGCAAGCAGAAGGCAGCAGAGCAACAAGCAAGTGAGGGGACCTTAACAGCTTCTTCTGCCACTCTCAGACTATCCAGGCTACTGGGATCAGGACAGTACCAAACCAATCAGTGGACTGGTTTAGTGATCACACACACACCGTTAATCCCAGTGTCACCCTCTCTAGGTCCAGCACCCCTGAAAAAGCCCTACCTATGACCGCATGGGGTTTTGGGGGGAGAGCTCGATGCAAGCCATAACAGGTGCTCAGCAGATTTTGGCACCCCTTGTCCACTTCACCCAGGGGCTCCATGGAAGCTCCCTGGGCCGTGCAGCATGCTTTCACACAGGGTCTGTGCCCTTGTGCCCAGCCTGTCCGCCATCTGTGCACTTCTTGTGAAGACACTGTACCCATTAGAGATCCACACTTGTAACACACTCCATTCCTGCAAAATCGGGGGCTGCAAAATGCTTCCTGTGCACCACACACTGCCCCTGTACAGACAGCCTGGTGTCTAACCCAGTCCTGTAGGCTAGGAGTCCACACTCCTTGTTCTCTGACTTTTCCCAAAGCTGAGCCTTGGCTCTGTCTCCTAGGCCTTCCTTCCTCCCCAGCCCTGTTTCCCCCCAAGGCTCAGTTCCCATCCTTCTACCCTCAGGTCAGATCCTATCGTTTCACTTCTGCAGAGGCCGGAGTCAAAATGACCTGAGTCAGCAGGCTGAGGTCCCTCCTGTCCCACAAGAGGTCCCTGGAAGCATGCAAGTGGACCGAGCAGGCAGCTGAGAAGTCAGACCTTAAGTCTGGTTCCCACGGCAACTGCTGCTTCTTGTCAACAAGGGACACTGGGCCACTGCCTGGTCAGGATCCAGTCAACCACTGAGGGTGCAAGCTGCTCACTGCCCTGGGGTTGAGTGCAGAGGGATCTGGAAAGGAAATCTCAGCTATGGGGAAAACACTCCAGCCGGCCCTCCCCTCCCAACCCCAGGAAACTGCCAATTTTTAGCCAGTATCCTTGGGGTGAATACAGGGGAGAGTGGCCACAGTCCCGTGAAGGTGTTCTTATCTCACAAAGGGAGCTCTCCCAACTTTAAATTAATTCAGCAAGCTTTTATTTAGACATTAAACTTTTCAAAGAAAGAGTAGGAGCAAATCTCTACCACGGCTCGGATTTCTTAAGACGCAAAAACTGAAACCACTCTTAAAACCTCCATGAAAATGTAAAGCTTTTCCTTTTGGAAGCTATCACTTTTTTAAAAAATTAAGCCACACAACTGAAGAATACATTGGCAAAATAGACCTGACAAAGGATCCTATATTAAGAATACACATAAAGTGTTTGTAGATGGGGAGGGGAGGAGGGGGTGAAGGGAGGGCAGGGGTAAGGGGAAAAAATGAGAATCAAGACTTGTCATGTAGAGGTACAAGATCCCAACAATGAATGTAACTGTACTGTATCCCTAAAATGTACCAATAAACTCAATTAAAGCTGAAAAAAAAAAGAATATACAGCTGGGGATTTAGCTCAGTGGCACCGTACCCACCCGCTTTGGAAAACACTTTGGCTCTCTCCTGCAGGGTTATACAGAGACACGCACCATAACAACCTAGCAATCATACTTCCAAGCAGTTACACAAGCAAGACAAAACTGCAGATCCTCAGAGACACTCGTACTCCACTACTCATAGGTTTCATTCATAACAGTCCAAAACTGGAGACAACCTTCACTCACATTAACAGGTAGGTGGATAAGCAAATGGTGATACAGCTACCCAAGGGGACAGCACCCAGAAATGAAAAGGTGTGACCGGAGCACAGTGACAGAGGGAGCCGGAGCATTGTAGGATAAGAAGCCAAAGTTATCCTTGGATACTGTGAGTGCCTTTTCCTATGAACCCCTGCATCTGACCAAGACACAACTCTCGGAAGGAATTCTAAGGCTAGCAGACCTCTGGCCTTATCAGCTGTGAAGCTCAACAGGCTATGACATCTGAATCCTGTCAAAGATTTCTCCCCCCAGTAAGAGACATCTGAACCTCACAGAACAGATTTCCCCCCGGCCACTGGATGACCCAGTCACTTGCTTTTGTGTCTGTAAAAGCTTATACAACCTCTTCCATGGATAAACCCTCTCATCCCGAGTAACTGTGTTTCTGTGTCTGGAACACGCCACTCACACTTGGCTCAGAATAAACTATCTTCTCCTTTCAGAATTCTTCTACATCAACACATGAAATAGCACTATATGCAGTGACACAGGTGACTCCAAAGACAAAATGCCCAGCATCAGAAACATGAAATCACACAGTATAAAGGGAAGTTTTCTAGTCATACTTGTATGGTTCCATCCTGATAGAACTCTAGAAAAAGCATGCTATTCTCCAGGTGCAGAAACCAGAGCAGCAGCTGCCTAAGGCTGAAGGCGGACAGTGGATGGGATGATGGAGACAGGACACAAGAGAAGGCAGTGGGTAATGAGGTGGCCCATTTCTTGGGGGTCGTAG